AGTGTGATCAGTCACAGAGATGGAGCTTATGGTATATTTGTTGGTCCAATTCAAAAAGATATAACCGAATTCTGTTAATTACATGTGTGAAACTCACCATCCTGTAGAACTGTCCAGTCTTCGTCTGCCTGCTTATCATAAAAGCAGAGATACAAAAATAATTTTTATCACACAAGTTCTTCTTCCTCATGTCCGTTTGACACTCCTGAAAAAGACAGTATCAAAACCAGACATTTCACAAATTTGGCTTTGGTATATAACAAAAACATGAGTTGATAGCTTTTAAAACTATTAATGAAACTACAAATCGTGGGAAGGTGTTAGTTAAGCCCTCAAAGTACATAAGCAAGTGTCATGTTAGGCTGGTTCATATAGCATTATAAAGTTCTTATTCTAATAGGCTCCCATATTAAAACAGATATTTAATAACAGTATATGTCAACAGCTTCTGCATATTTTGTCAGTCAGCATCTTGTAATATTTATTGAAGTTGATAAGGTTTTCAGAAAGGAGTCTCTCATCTCTCTCATATTTGTGTTCTATAAACATCTAATGGTAATTTAGTATATATTTCAGCTAAACACTAAATGTGTGCTCAGAGGCACTCACCTAAAATTCCTCTGAAGGGGTGGAGTACAAAGATAGAGCAGAGATGCATCCTTCACATGTGCTCAGACATTTTAGTAATGTGCAATTATTGAATTTGAAAGATTTCTTTTAAATTTGTTAGAACACTTTTCCCTGGTTTCAAGGAAGTGATATGACACAATCAGCAGTTACTCATGATTAACTTTTTTTTTTTTTTTCCTTTTTTAAATAAATTCTCTTTCCCAGGAGGGTGGATAACTGGCAGATAGGATGACTACCTGTATCATCTTGTGATTCTTTATTATACTACTGACCAGAGTCCACACTGAAAATTAAATTGTTCTAAATGTTTGGCTAACAGATGGAATGTTGTGAAACAGTAATCATAGAAAAAAGTATATTTGCTGATACATGTATGTAGTTGCACAGTTTTTGTATCACAAATAAAATAATGCTGGTACATCCATCACAAAAGATAATCTAATCTTCTATTCATGTTATAATTTACTACTAGAAATAGTGTTTATTATTTATTAATATTGCCATTAATTCTGTTGAGATTTAGTTGAGATTAAACTAGCAAACTCTTGAGAGACCATTTTAAAAAGATACCTAAATTAGACTTGTATTTGGTGAAAACTTTGTGATTTTGTCTAGATATCATTCAGTCCTGGTTAGTAATCATTATTAAGCAAGAAATAAGTTTTTTGTTACTGTGTTTTTCCCAGCTCACACTAAGTGAAATGTATATGTTACATGAAATGTGTATGTATGTGGTGTTTTAATGACTTAAATACAGATTTTCATTTATGTACATAATTACCTAAAGATGCATGTTGAAGTCTAATGGAACTTTTCAGAAAAGCGTTCCAGTATGTGTATATGCAAACTGCTACGCCCAGCCCTGCCTGCCCACACTATGAGAGGGCTGGATGCAAATCGCTTCCAAGCTAGAAAACAAATAGTCATTTTAGTCTGGCACTGACTCTAAAGTGCCTAACCTATAGGTAAGATGTAAGATGCCTATGTCACTTGTACTTTTTGTGGGGGAGGAGGGGAAACATGGAAAAAACATGTCAAATGTGCCTGGGCATGAGAAGTGTTTATTGGAACAAGCAGAAAGTCTGGCTGCAGAGGGTTGGAGGGTATTCTAAGGTGTCTTACAATGAAGGAGGAGAAATAACAAAATTTTTAAAAATCACCATTAAGAAATAGTGAGCTTACACGCAAAGATTAGAAGCAATCATATTATTCAGACTGAGCTACTACTGGTCCCTTCGGATGTCGTGACTGATTTAGTGCATGAATTTAGCCCACTACAAATACAAAGTAATATTTGTCTAAATGAATTAGCATTAGGAGCAAGCTAGAAGTGTATAATTTTCTTTCTCTCTTCAAGGCCATATGACCCAAAAAAATGCAACAGATATGACTGACTCAAAGAGAGGAATTATTTGAATGAGTTTTAAGGTGATACTAGGAAATTTTTGCTTAATAGTATATATTACTTTGCCATCTGTTACAGTTTAAAAGCTTACATTTCTGATTCTCCTGAAAGTAAGAAATTTTCTTTTTGCGGAGTCTTATTAGGGGAGAGGAGGGCCGCCTTTCACTTTGTCAACAGTGTAATTTTTAGTGACTTAAGGAAACCAAATTGGGGTTCTGACATTCCTTTAAGCCAAGTAAAATCTTTTTTTGCATAAAGCGCAGTATTTTTTAATGAGGTGAATATCTTCAAATGTTGCTTATTTCATCAAAATATAGTTTCAAGGATAAAGTATATTAAGCATTTTCTCAAAGGATTCTGCAGACATATATTAAAAGAATAGTTTACAGAGAAATTGATTAATCAAACTGAATAAAACAGTTGGGAAGGTTCAATTGGGAAGATGTATTTGAAGGAGTTTCTCTAATAATCACAATTTTTGTAAAAGATGCATGTGTGTAATAATCGGGTTAGGGTGTGTAGCTAATTGATGAAAAAACTAGCCATAATTCTAATCCGCTTGAGGAAAAAAAGAAAAAAAAAGTCTTCAGTTTCTTTATGATTTGCCAATATTTTTTATGCAGAAAACTAAAACACAAAATGAGAAGTGTTTGATAAATCCATGTGAAATAAGGAAAAATATTGGATAATTTCTATTATTTGTTTGTATCCATTTTATCTTACACATTTATTTTACACTGAATTTGTTTGAACACAAGTAACCAACGTATACTAGAATGCCAATACTGTAATGTGAAAATAACTAGAAAAAGTAGACTATGTTGGTGTATACACCCACATACATGTGCAGATATGTATATGGACGCATTTATCTGTGTATGCTTGTATATGTGTTCATATATATTGATTATATTTTTCTAGATTGAAATAGCATAATTCTCTGCAAGGAACTGAAATACTCATGTGACTCTCATTGCTGTAGGAATTTAAGCACCATCTGAAATAGTCTCAAGCTAGCTACCACCTTAGGAGGAAAAGATGTATTATTAGTCCTGTTTTACCATAGCAAAAGTGAAGCAGGGATTCAAAATAGCACTTGCATGTCTAACCAGGCAGTTAAGGAAATGTGTTGACACCTGAATCTAGAGCGTAATCCTCCAAAGTTGAAGCCTGTGTAGGATGTTGTGGAGGTCAAAAAAGTGCAAATTGGTTCAAAATGGTCTAAAACAAATTCATGCAGGAAAAGAGGTCCGTGAGTAGCTATTGGGTAATGTGCTGTTCGTATGTCTTCCACCCTTCAATACTCATTCCAAAAGTTGGAAGGATACACAAGTAGAAGAATGTATTTGCCAAGTTTCTTAACATTCTTTCCTTAAGCATTTGGTTTGGCCTCTGTTGGAAAGCGGGTACTAGGCTAAGTAAACACTTTGTCTGATTGAGTATAATCATTTTCATGTTAAGTGTCTATATGCCTAACTATTCACCATTAAATACTCTGATGTGTCATAGATATAAGAGCATGCTAAGAGCTTTGTTCTTGTTACGTGCTTCCTCTTATACTGCTCTGTATTTCTTTGCTGTTGCCTCTTCCACTCAATTTTGTCCATCCCATTTGTCTTGTTTTCCAAGCACATCCCTTCAAGATGCATGACAGTCTGCTGTGCAGAGAGTAGGCCATGGAAATCAGAATTGTTAGGATTTTGTATTTTCATGTTTCCTTGTTGCTTTCACTTTATGCATCTCATATCAGATGAAGATGAACAGCCAAAAGCCTGAGTGTGCCTACAGATGTGCCTTCAGGTTGGTCCCATCAGTACTGCATCACAGTCATCTTTCAATAACATTTTTACTGATTTGCAAAATGAGAACAGGAGCTGCTAGGACGCTAACGTTTCCGGAGATAGTCTCAGACAATAAAACAGTTTCAGTGACTTTGCAAATCACAGAATCACAGAATGGTTTAGGTTGGCAGGGACCTCTGGAGATCATCTAGTCCAACCTCCCTGCTCAAGCAGGGTCCTCTAGAGCATATTGCCCAGGATCACATCCAGACGGGTTTTCCGACGCCTCTCGTCCTGTCACTAGGAACCACGAAGAAACTGGCCTCATCCTCTTGACACCCTCCCTTCAGATACTTGTGCACATTGATCAGATCCCCTCTCAGTCTTCTCTTCTCCAGGCTGAACAGGACCAGCTCTCGCAGTCTTTCTTCGTAGGACAGATGCTCCAGTCCCCTGATCATCTTGGTAGCCCTCCGCTGGACTCTCTCCAGTAGTGCCATGTTTCTCTTGTGCTGGGGAGCCCAGAACTGGACACAGTACTCCAGTCATGGCCTCCCCAGGGCTGAGTAGAGGGGCAGGATCACCTCCCTCCACCTGCTGGCAACACTCTGCGTAATGCATCCCTAATGACAATGTTGTAATTGATCTTAGGAACAGCTATCTTAGCTTAGCTTTGGAGATTATGTCAAAACATTATATGAAGAGGTTCTACAACATTAGCAGTGGAAGATTTTAAAGTTTGTCCATGGTAATTAATTTCTTCCATATTGCAATGAGTAAACTGCTTATTTCATCTTACTGATGCTACTCTCTTTTAAAAAGATTTGAGAACTCTTTAAAATTCACATGAACAGTACTCAGTTAATGTCTAAAATATTTATACTTGTATTACATTTCTTTCATTCTGGAAAACAGTACTGTCTCTACTAAGGTTTCCAACAATACCTTCGCTCTGTTAAAGACCAATGAGTTTGCTCTCTTTAGTGGCTAAAGCCTTTTCATGTATTCAAAGACCTCTCCACAGCTCCATACCTTCTAAAGAATATAGAGAATGTTCTGTTTTTACTGGTTATATTAAACCTTGGAATTACTGTTTGTAAAACCTAGCAAAACCAGCTGGCTCAAAGCCTGCAAAATGACGGTTTTCTTAATGGCAGGAGTGTATATTTTTATATTTTATTCAGAGGTAACCAGAGACAACGTGAAGCCTACAACAAGACTGAAAGTACTCAGTGATTCTGTGAAATAAACGTGCAGATCCTGTGAGTGTCCGTGTAATTCTATATATGTCACCAATATATATTTTCAACCTCCCTATTATCATGACCCTTAAGACCCTTACAGTACAGTAGGAACATAAAATGCTGCAGCAAGTTGTTCCTATCTTGTAAGGGTCAGTGTGTTGGTTGCTATCCTGCAACACGTGGGAGGCAACTCAAAGGAAGAAAAGTAAACCTCCTGCACAGATTAAAAGTCTGCACTGTGGCAGGCACTACATAACATCATTAGTGTGATAATTTGATGAGGGGTTGATCAGAGGCATCCAGCCAAGCAGAACTGTGTTTGAAGTTTTAATATTAACATTTGTATATATTTTTTTCATGTCTGAGACAAAGTACATTGCTTTCCATGAAATGAGCCATGTAACATTTTGTTGACAATAATAATACTGGAACCTTTAGATGTTCTTAATAGAGGTCTACATTGGAACCTCAGTCACCAAGGTGAGGAAAGTTCAATAGGTTATAAAGTGTACATTCAACATTAAAAATTAGCTAGTATACTTATTAGCATTTTACGCAGTATGTGAACCAGCACTAAAAGAGTTAAAATCCTGCTTGCATGTGCATTTTCTCGTAGAATGGTAATAATGGAAGTTGGGAATCTCAAGTCTTGATCCCCACTATCTGGTTCTCTTCTCACTTTTATCAGTCCTGAGCCTTTTCTACCCTACCCATGCTTTCTTTTCCAATCATTTCACTTCATCTTTCTTAATCATGACTCCTCTTTTCTTTCATCCTAGCTGCTCCAAGTTCTCTCACCTCTTTTCCTCAATTTCTTTGCCTGTCCAGTGTCATATTATCCCTTCCAGCTTCTTAAACCATCTGTCAGTCCTCATTTCTACCCCTAATTTCTGATTCCAGCTGGCTCCCGGTTTCCCTCCTTGCTCTTTATTCTAGTCAGTACAAGCTCTTCCAGTTCTGGCTACTTTGTCTTTTCTAGAGCTACTTTTTTCCACCACGTCTCACTGATCTATGAGTCTGTCTTCCTTGATGTCTAATCTCTTTGTATGAACTCTTCCTTTTCTATCTACTTTATCTTCTGTCTAGTTACTTTTATCTATCATAACTCACTGATGTATAGCTTCTTCTTTCTTGACCTGTCCTTAGTCTCTCCTGAAATTGTTGTTTCCAGTTCCTTTTTCTACTCTCACTTCCGAATTTCTACCTCAGTCTTGCTTTCCTCTTCTTTCCTTCCTGTCCCAGCGTAAGCCAGTGCCCAGATCTGACTCTTGCTTCATCTGCATTTGAAAAAGGCTGCGTACATCTGGAAAAGATGTGAGTGTTGCTAGGGGCAGAAAAGAGATAGTCTCTCTATTTTTTGGTGCATATACCTGGCACAGTCCATCACAGCCTAAAAGGAGTTAAGTTCAGTTGAAACATAGTCAATGCAGATTAAAATAGAGATTTGGTAATCCCCGTTTATGTAAAGTAGTATTCATGCTATTAACATGGGCTAAGAAACTCTACTTTTGTCATAAAAGAATATAATGGTATGTACTATTGTATGCAATACATTTTTCCTCTTACTTTAAGTTGGATATAGTATCATCACTGTTGATAGATCACTGTGATTTGCTACCACATACTTTTACATAACTTTGCTGTCGGCCCTGATGTTTAAAAGATTTGTGAACAGCTTTTTTTTTCCAAAAAAAAGAATCACTTCAGTAATTTGCTAGCGCATCTTTTCGTAACCTTTACCACAATGTTTATTCTTGTCAAGAAACTCTAGATAGATTTTTTTTTTTTTCCGTGTTGAAGACAAGTTCAATCATTTACTTCAGTGGCAGAGTTTGAACTTTTTTTTCTTAAGTGAACTTTGAAAATTGTGGTCCTAAATGGTTTCAGCTTTCATGTTCCTCGAAATGAATTTAAGCTCAAAAGAAAAAAAAGACTTTTTTGCTATCATGATTTATTGATAGCACATCTGTATATACAAAAGTACTGTCACTGAGGTTGTTGCTGTTTGCTTGTTTTTATTTAAGTAAGTACTTCGTCTCTGGGTGGAAGGGATCAAAAGGGACATCAGATATATATTAAATGTGTTTTTAATTTAAAAAAATGTGAGAGAAAGAAAATAAAGTTAAAAAAATCTATTGAGAAAAAAAAGTCAAAAAATTGACAATCTAATTTTCTCTTCTACTGTGGAATCCAAATCAATAATAGGACTAAATTACAGGAACAGTCAAATACAAAAAAGTATACAAAAAGTATGGTCTTTATCTATAATGTTTCCACCTGTTCTTAAACACCAGGAAGAAGATGAGACTTCTTTTATTTCTAATAATTTGCCAACGTGCCATAAAGAATATCAGTAGTCACAGTGCTTCAAATCCCAATGTCATTTTACTAATGGCTGATGATCTTGGTATTGGAGACCTGGGATGTTACGGGAACAGAACCTTACGGTATGATGATATATTTGGGGGAATCATGGTTTTATATGTATTTTTCCTAAAGATTGTAAAATTGAAAACCAACAGTATTGAGAGCTCTTATAAGGTTCTTTATATGGAATCAGTCTTGCTACAGGATAGAAAATTTAATCTTTACTTTTTTTTTTTTCTTTAGTAATAAGAAAAGGCTTAGCTGCTGTACTTTATCCACCCAAAGCATTGCATTGTAAACAGATCACTGAGCAACCAAAATAACATTAAGATTCAGAGAAGTAAAACATAATCAATAATTTTCTTTAAAAATTAATTTGGCACAAGTATGAATTAAACATATTTTGAAGAAGTCTTGTGATTTGAGAAGAACTTATCACTAACTATTTAGGAAAAAAGTGCTAATTTTTTTTTATGTCACTTGTCTTTATACCGTAGTAATTTAAATTTATTAAAACCAGTGTTAATATACCTGACTAATTCGGTAATGTTCCCCAGAATGATCATTACTGCTAAGTTAGGTATGATGCTTGTGTGAAAAGCACAACAAGTTGAGCTTACTCATTGTGTTTCAGTGGTGCAAAATGAAGCTGTGATCAAGTTAAATAGACCATTCAGGCTAAAAGCACTGTCTTTTTGAATGTTACGTTCCCTTGTTCCTGTTGAAGGTAGCTGGAAGTGAAAGCTCCTTGTAACTCACAAAAACAACTCATCTTACAGCCTCTGATTTTAAACAAGAAAAAAAGATATATAGCACAGATGTTTGTATCACCCCTTCTTCCCCCACAAAGGATCAGAAACACTAAAAGAATTGTATTCTTAGATGTGAAAATCCAGGATTAAATTTTAGAGTATGAAGAAAATGCATCACACTGCTTGTTGTCTATAGGTGATGTTATAGCAAAAAAAGTTTCTTGGAAAATTAATGTTTCTGACTATATTCACCCTTAACGGTGGGAGGAGTAGTGTGCCTTGAGGTCATGATCATTAGTCTCCCAGGTCAGGAACTCACTAGAGCATGCTGTAGTTCCTGGCTAGTCTGCATGCGTAGGTGGTTTGTTTTTTTTTTTTTTTTCCTGTAGAGCCAAGGGCACAAAATTTCACCGTGCAGAAAACAATTTTCATATGTATGAGGACAAGGTTCACGTGCAGATATGGAAACTTGGAAGTGGCCCTGGTCTAATATTACAGATGTAGTCTGTAAACATCATTAATATAGAGATTAATATAGAAGCATGACCATTTGAATCTCTCCTAATAAGTTATACCATCCATCTTCTTCTCTGCTCCTCCCCCCCAAAAAACGCATATCCCTTTTTGAAAAGGGATCAATGGAATTTTGATTTTCTCTGGGTAGACACTTTCCATTTCTCCCTGTAACCCCTTGTTCTTCAGCTAATGTAATTTTATTGGTGAGCCAATGGCAGTAACACTGAGAGGGCTGTATCCATCTTCCTTATCTCAGAGATTTTCATCTCACTATCCAGGGCAACCAATACTCTCACTCTCTTTCTGGGACAATCAGATCCCAATGGACCTCGTTATTGTCTCTATTCTTCTTCGAAATTTTGTTGAGGAAAGGGAGAAGCACCTCCAAGTAGGGAGTAAGCAAACAGCACCTTTCTGCAGTCTCTCCCCTCCCTATGGCTGAAGCAGAAAGGCCATGTAAGTAGCAGAGTTACAGTTTGAGGTCTAGGAATGCATAAAAAGGGGTTGAAATACAACAACCAAGTGTCACAGTTTAATATTGTCCATGACAAGTGGATGAAAGTGGGGAAAAAGATTTTTAGCACAGTACCACAAAGTCATTTTTGGTATTGACACCTAATAAATATAAAGTTATTTACTATAATTGTATTTAGACTTGCAATATCACTACGGTTTTGATAATTTGCATACACTGGTCTTGATATTTTTGATAATTTTTGCTTCAGATGCTTTGATCTCACCATGCCTAGTTCTAAATAATTTTTTTTCAATTATATTTTTCTAGAACCCCTAATATTGACAGACTAGCTAAGGAAGGTGTGACACTTACTCAGCATATAGCAGCATCTCCACTGTGTACTCCAAGCAGGGCAGCTTTCCTGACAGGACGATATCCTATCAGATCAGGTAAAATCCCATTTTTCTATTAATATATATATCACATTTAATTTTCAATAAGCCATATTCTTTTTTCTCTCTGTCCTTTGTTGATGTCTTTGGTTAGGTATTCAGGTCAGTACTTAATCGAGCTCAGTAGAGTTGGTCAACATTTGAAATCTTCCATAGATGGGAAATTCTCAGGTTTCAGAAGAGTTCATACAAAAATAAAGCCTTTTTTTTTTTTTTTAAAAGAGAATATATTTTTTTAAATACCAGGGCAAACATCTGATTGTGGTTATTTAAAGTGGAAGTAGCAACCAGTTTTCATGGATTGCCTCCACTATCTAAATGATTGCCTTCACGAGGCCTCTTTTGCTTCCCTAGTTGCCTTCAGGCTGCTCCTAAAGTGATGAGGGCAGCCTGAGCATTCAGCATCGCAGAGGATTCCATGGGGCCTCAAATTGAGCCATATTTCTTATGTGTTCCTGTAGAAACATGAAAACTAGCATTTGAGAGCAACATCTAAAGGAGAACATTGAAAGCCCATTGTTCAAATCAGCACTGATTTACTCAGTGAGCATCTAGGAAGACACAAGGCAGAACTCAGTTTAAACTCTCTTGCTGAGATATTTCTGTTCCTTCAAAACGTTTTGGCTTAGGCAAATTAATTTTTTTTCTGATGAAATTTCATTAAGATATTCCAACAGCTCTTAAAACTGAGGAGAAGAAAGCAAAAATCCCCCTTTCCTCGTAAGTATTGTTGCTGTATATCTTCCCATTCACAATGCTAAGAATCCTGAAAGTACCTGTAACTTGAATAATTTTTGTTATGTTTAAAGGGTCTGATCCAAAGACCATTTAAGACAATAAAGATTCATATGTTTACTTTAATGGGCTGGGACTAAGCCCCTCAGTGCTTAACTGTGCAGCTTTAACATTCCCTTAACATAATTTTTAGCAAGGATCATTATACATTAATCAAATCACTTGTTCATTAGTGATAAAACATCCTGTCCTTGCTTCTGGGAATGAAAGCAAAGCAAGACTCTGGAGCCTACTTGATGTGTTCGTGTTCATTCAAATCAAGTAACAAGCTGCTGCAGAAGTGCCAACTAATATAGCTTGCTAAATTTTCCATTACGTTCTGCTGAAAGGAAAATTGTATATATCTGTTATAGCTACACTGCTATTAATATTTGCTGTAGGTAAAGCCACAGGTCACGTTGCATTGTGATCCTTGTTCTTATTTCTGAAAAACTGGTATTTGACCTGATTTTTTTATCGATTGATCTGCTCCCAGTCACTAATCCTGATCGTTTCCTTGTATCTACAAAAATTGAACTTTGTCGTAATTAAATTAGGAATTACTAAATATAGATGACTTCCAAACGTCAGTGAGGAGCTAATACAGGATTATTATGGAAGATACTAGAATCACAATGAGGAAAAAAAAAAGAAATTTTAAAATCTTGCTAATGGAGATGAAAAATATTCCAAAATGCAGTAATTTGATGAAACATCTCAGAGAAAGGTAATGATGAAAAAAAATTGTTCTGTACCTTACTTTGATTCTGGTAACTTAGTGGAATTACACTGATTTCAATTATGAGAGATGAAAGTACACCTTCAAAAAAGTACAGACATAGGTGACTGAAACTACTTCAAGTGTTACTCAGTAAAATTGAGCATGTTGAATAAGGGTGAAAAACTGAAGGTAGCATTTGAAAAGTAGGTGGAGCTGTCTTTAATAAGCTAGTCTAACAGGTCTTTTTCTCTTCTAACCACAATAGATGCCTAAGAGAAGATTCTGGTCGCCTATATTAGGCATGTAATTTTGGCAGTGCAATCATCAAGTTGCATAATTCAGATTTCTTGAAGATATATCTTCACAGATTTGCATAGATATTTCATTGCTTTGTCTATATTCTGAGCCAACTCTCATTTGGAATCCCGGTAACCTAATTTTCATGAACCTGAGCTCCCAAATTCCTCATACTGACAGCAGAGTTTATAAGCTCAGATTTGTTTTTTTTCAGATTCTCGGTATTGAAATTACTGTTCCTTATTTAAATATTTTATTATTAGCTCATACATGATGCTGCTTTAATGCACCCAGGCTGGAACTTAAGAAAGTCTGTTCATGCCATTTGAGCAGGGGCCCTCTCCCACCAAATCTGAGTGAATACCTTAGCCAGTAGGTTCCAGATTCAGATTCTTTCCTGCTCTTTTTTAATGATGATATTTTATGTGCCTGCCTGTAAAATTTCCCTGCTTCAACTGCCTTCTCTCAAATAGCCTGACAGAGTTGTAGAAAGCAACGTATAAGGAAAGTGGACGTTCTGAGAATAAAACTTGGGAGTGCTCACACTTAATCCCTAGCTTCATTCCTTCCCTTTACAGAAGAAAAATGAATTATGTAAGCTCAAGTTCTTTCAGATATGTTGTACCTCAGAATGCCCACAGAAGGGGCTGCAGCTGTTTATGTGATAGCTGTCCGCACAGTTATTAGTAGAGAGTTTTCTTTCTTTTTTTTTTTTTTTTGCATCTCAATTTCTGGTGAATGGACTAGTGGCAATATGTCATTTAAGTGATACCACTTAAAGAAGAAAGTGCATGCAGAAGAAATGGATGAAAACTATTTTACTGCATTATCCAGGTTTCATTCACTTTCATGGTGTTTAGGAATGGCTGCCTTCTCGAGAGTTGGTGTCTTCTTATTTTCTGCCTCTTCTGGAGGGCTTCCTTCTGAAGAAATAACTTTTTCCAAACTCCTGAGGCAGAGAGGTTATTCAACAGCTCTAATAGGTAAAATTACTGAAATATGCAATGTTATTTTTCCTTCATTTGAATCAAAAGTGCCTTAACTTTCCATATAAAGTGTTAAATGTCTTCATTAAGCTTTTTTCCCCACAGCATAATGAGTTTTTTTTTCTAATACAAAGCTGAGCACATTCCCGTTCATATGTGAAACTGATCATGTAAGTATGTCTAATTCACTTGTATAGTTATAGTCTCATTGTGCAAAGTACTGAACAAATGCATGCCAAATTTAAAATCAGTCCATCTCATTAAAAGTTTTCTGTATAAGTTCAAAATAGAAGTCTGATTGCAGCAGAGAACAGTGAGGGATTAGGGTACAGATCAGGGCAACAATGGGATTCATTTCACCTCTCTTCAGATATCTTCATAATGCAGATAATTAGTACCTGAGCTAACCATGTGGATTCTACTCTTAGTCATTGGAGGGAAGCGCTCATTTCTAGGAATTTTGTTTCACCCTGTGGTAGATGTTTAATATAAAAATGTATTTTTTTCTTTCATTATAAATATAGTCTGGATAAGCAACTTGCACAGAAACGTCCAATGATGGGTAAGAGAGACCCCACTGGATAACTACTAAAGAGAGTTGAAATGAATGTAGTAAAGGTATAGCATTTAAATAATGAGAAAGTTTTTCTTCCTAATTTGGCCCCTGAGGTTCCACCTGAAATGCAAGGTTTGCTTGCATTTCAGCAGATGCTTGTGAAATACAGCTTATATTAAGTAATATAAATTGTCTTTCTGTACACAAATTGTCAGGATATAGTTCTTTAGAAATCATCATACAGGTATGTTACTGTGTTCTTTTAAAAGCTTGATGCACCCAAGTTGATTCATAAATGTAACAAAAGCTTGCAATTTTGGACGTAATTCTTATTTAAAAATCAATCTATTTAACAAGGCTAGCAATTCACATCACCATTAAAAAAAATATCCATACCATATGGATACCTCAGTGTTGATGTTCCTAACTAAGCAAGTCTACTTAGCTATACGCCAGTCTTTGAAAGTATAAAATACCATCATGTCCTAACAGATTCAAAACAGAAAAACAGAAGATCTTAATAGAAGGATATTTGTGCAGGTGTATCTGAACCTTAGTGCAACAAAGCCATTCACAGAACTATTTGTCGTATTCATCATGGAATTACTTCCTATTGCTCCATATTCAATTAAAGACTGCAGGAAGTTCATTTTTCTGTTTGTAACAAGCACTATAATTTGACTCATTTTCTGGGGGCTGACCTAGTTAATGTTCTTTTTTTAACTACTTTCACTGCAACATGACAGCTTGCCACTTAGATCTCCAGAAGTTATCTCCGTGATGCTTAATGAACAGTTCTTCCAAGTGGCCTGAAATGATAACTAAGAAACCTTAAAATGTAATATTACCATACCCTTAGAGTATAACGAAGCCTTCCAAAAAATCAAGAAGAGTATTAAAATTAAGTGTAGAGCATATGTAAATGACAAAAAGAAAAATTATGTAGATTTGAAGAAGAGAAAGGCAGGCTCTCATTCCCAGCCTGCCCGTTTTCTGCCTCTGCTGGTATTCTTATCACATCTTCTTGGTCTAGGTCAGGGAGTCATTGCTTCGTTCAGTCTAACTCAGCAATTCCCAAACAATTAGTTGTCAGATCCTGCACCTGTGATGGATTGGCGTAAGGATAATTTGAAGCTTTTCTGTTCTGCAAGCCTGTACTGTCACTTCTTTTTTAGCCAAGTTGCTCTCCCCTTTAGTCTCTAAGGGCATTCTTTTCTTCTCTAAATGAAGTTTCCTTCTTTTTCCTTTTTTATTCCTCCTCTGAATATGTACTTTCTTATGCTTGCTATGTCCCTAAGTATATTTTAGCTATAAATCTATTTTATACATGCACTTTTTTACCTCATTGTCTTTCTCCTGTGGCACAAAGAAGGTGACATGCAGTAGATCTGGCAGGAAGAGACCTAGTTGGAAAATCTGCAAGAAAACCAAGTTTTCTCAAAAATACAGATGCATTGAATTTGAAATATTTCACTAATTTAGGATCCTGGAGGGTAGAAAGAAATGTCAGTGTTTTGGGGGAAACAGCTATGTCAGACTCTTAATCCAAAAGAACCTGTGAAAGTAGGTCCATATTGTTTTGACTACTGCTATAAATGCAGGATCACAGTTGGGAAAAGGTCAGCTTTTCCTCACCACTGCTATCCAGCATGGTGTTTAGCATCCAGAGGAATGTAAGGTCTACCTATGTAGCCTATCTCCAAAGTCAAAAACACTAATGCATAAATTGGGAATTGTGCCTTGTCTCTAGAATGAGAAATATAATACTTGGACACACTGTGGCCGTAGTGTAAAATGCAAGATCAGCTGAGTCGATGAAGTAGTATTAACAGAACAGTGAACTGGGAAAGATTAGGAGGTGACAGAATTTCAGTTGGAAAGAGCTTAAATTTTTACCATGTTAATAATGAATGCACATATACTGTAAATTACTAATATTACTATGCATGTCATATAAATATATTTCTTTGAATGCATAAAACATATTTTCCTGCATCTTGCACTGCAGGCCCTTACCATTTATTTAAAGCACAAAACCATATTAAAAGAAATAAACTGAGTCTTCAAATTGTTCTCTTTTCAGCTATGTGAGGGATCTATAGAGGAAAAGCATGAATTTTTGTACCCTTCCCAGAATTACCACTTCTGGAGTACCAAGAAGAGACGTGAATTCCAAATGAAGTTTCTTAGGTGGAGAGGACTTGCTTCTCATTTACCTTTCATTACATTACTTTTGCTCTGCAGATTTCTTAATTGTGGCATGAGAGTGAAAAAACTTGGATCCAAAACTATTAAGGTGTTCATAATATGCCATTAACAGTTTAAATTTCACTCAAAAGCTTTGTAGAATCTACTGAAAATTGTATGATGCTTATCTAAAGAGTCCATAATATGTATCTGGACTTAGTAAAGACATGAGAGCATTTTGCACTATTCCCAGATTTAGAAAAGTTCTGGAATGTAAAGCACATTACAATAATCTCTTGAAAAGCTAATTCAGAACAGGACTTACTGTGACAAAGAATGGTGTAGAAGTCAAAGAAACTAATAAAAAATATGTATTGTGAGCGCAAACATCACTTGTCTTCTCAGCGCAGTTCAAGATCTATCAGAACTCTCTACCTCATTGTCGATTTAAAATTGTATCTTTCACAATTGTGTCTTTCAGAGTTACCTACATAACTTGCATCAGTGCTTCTGTTGCTTTATCTGAATTAAGTTGCTTCCAAACAAATCTTTTTTGAGGCCTCAGATCGTTTTAACACTGACAAATTTGTGTTTGCTAAAAGCCTTTTCATAAAAATAGGTCCTATATTTTGCCCTTTCCTTAACTTCTTGTTGCAAAATTCTTCTGCCCTGGCTTGTGTTTAATTTTATGTTTAGTTTAATTGTTTAAATGTTTTAGTTTTATGTTAGTTTAATGTTTAGTTTTATTGAGATCCAGTTTAAACAAACTTTTTTATAAGTAATAAATGACTTTGTAAATGTATTTAAGTGGTTTTGGTTTTTTCACAAATTTTAATTGCTGCTATGGGATTGAAAAATCAAAGTACAAATTTAAAAGTTAAAACTTTAAGATTATTTATGTCCATGATTATAAGTCTTTACCTTTATTTCAGTTATCCAGCTTCATGAGAATAGCTTAATGCTCAATTTCCCACACATCTGACTTTAAAATTATTTCATAAAGATAGTCACCAAAATCTAAAGGAAAACACTGAAGCATTTATTTTCCAAAATATCTCTCTCTTATAGCTGGGAGTGAAATTCAGTTTCAGTCTTAGCCTGTTATGGCACCATGTTAACATCTGAAAATCCAGAACAGAGGTCTGCATTGCTATTTTTTGTAATCAATCACAATACCATTCACTGGACCATTTCAAAAGTAGTGATTAGAGCCATTCTATCTGTGGAAAACAGAATACCCTTTGAGGTCAGGGTGGCCGTCTTGACAGTAAATGATAAAACTTCTGATCGAATGAGAGCAAAACCAGGCCTCCATTTCACTGACATATATAAGCACGCTAGCAAATGCTGTTAAGCCTCTTTCTGTGATGTACTGAAGATGTTTCTAGAAGCACTAATCCAAGGTCATCAAGTGATGTACCAGGAGAACTAGACTCTCACCATGTTTATGGATTGGAAAATCAAACATTCAATTAGACTCACGGCTTCTATGTTTTTTCCCCATTTTTGCTGATGAGTGAACTTAAGACGAATATCTTTCCATTCCATGTCTTAGTTCTGCTATCTATGAAAGAGAAATACTGACATCGAACCCATTTCGTAGGTACTGTTGCTTAAAATCAGAGCTGACCCTCATCTTCACCCTCTTTGATACTGTGGTGTCCGTATTTATCATTTCCAAAGGCAGGAGTGCAGGATGTATATGCTGCTCAACGTCCTGGAGATGCTCAGGAATGCCTGCATCTGGATTCCTGCTTACAGTTGTGTAAAACTGTGATGGTTAGGGAAAGGGAAAAATTCCATATGTGTTTTATTCCATTTTATATGTTTTCTACCAATTCTATACTGGAAGCTTATAGAACAAAATATTTCAGATTTCTTTCGGCTTTGTTATGGGGATGAAGGTTTACTGGGTTTTGGAGGGTTTTTTTGTTTATTTCTTTTAAGATCACAACCCTTGTCATCATATTTAGTTATTGAGGTCATAATTATGTCATAGAGATATAGAAAGCATAAATAATTTGATATAGAAAGTAGAAATAAAATTTGGCCTGGCAATATAAATTGTCATCTATTTTATCAAGGATGACACTGAAAGTTTTTGTCAAGTATTTGACACATGTCCTTTCTGAGACTAGAAAGCATTGATCCAAGCGTAATTTATGTCAGTAGGCTTAACTACAGTCTATTACATTAAGTCAAGATGAATTTGTAGTTTTTGTTAATTATGCATTTGAAATAAAACAGAAATAGAATTTTTTCCCACTGTGACAAAATGCTATGAGAAGCAATATTTGGTGGTAATTTACTTCTTAGTGTTTTTTTTTTCTTTTTGTATACAAATATTTATTTATTTGTATTTATATATCTGTCTTACCTCCTTCCCCTGCTTCTACCCACCCAAAGTAAGAAGAAGCAATAATTAGTGCTGATAATGTCAATTGGCAATTTTGGATATTTTGCGATCATCAGAGTAATAAATGCTTTGGTAATTTCAATGTTCTTGTTTTACTTCCTCTTTGTTACAGTTTTCTTTTTTAAAGCCAGTCAAATGTGAATGATTTGCCTGATAAATTTCAGAAATATGGATAATTCCATATTGGCTCTTCCTAAGAAAGTAATAGCTGGTACAAAACTGTATTTTATTATGACTACTTAACTACACATGCAGGAGGGCTTCATTTTCAAAGTTAACTATCTGTTAGAGCTCTGTTGCTCTGCAGTGACCTGCTAGCCCGCTCAGAATTTAATGGTCTCTGTCAGGAGCTATGCCAAGCTATTTCTAACTGAAAAGAAGAGCAAACTTGAAAAAAAGTCTTTGATGAAGGTATAAAGAAAGGGTTGGGAATAAAATAGACATGCACACAATAAATGTTGGGGGTGGGGAACATCAATCAGATAGTGACAGTTTCATATTTGGAAGGGTGCACATTGTAAGTCTGATGATTTAACTACAAAAATACTCTATGTCCCTATCTCTTTGTAGGAAAGTGGCATCTTGGGATGAGCTGTGAAAGCAGTAATGACTTCTGTCACCACCCCCTCAGTCATGGATTTGATTACTTCTACGGACTTACCGTGACCAATCTTAGAGACTGCAAAGCTGGGCAAGGCAGCGTATTTTTGAAAGGAACTGAAAAATCCATTGTTGCCTCCATCCAAATCATTGGAGTCACTCTAGTCTCTTTGGCAACAGTGCATTTTATTGGTATCCTCAAAGTACCTTTCCAAGCATTGGGCTATTGCTTTTTAATAATTGCTATTTCACTTGTGATTTTGCTTTTTTTCTTTCATAATTTTCGATACCTGAACTGCTTCTTAATGAGGAACCATCAAATTATCCAGCAGCCACTATCCTATGAGAACCTTACTCAGAGACTGACAAAAGAAGCTGTACAGTTTATAGGAAGGTAGGTTTTTGACTGCACTGGAAGTTAATGCTGGCATTTCACAATAATAGCATCTCTTCAAAAGTATAAAATGTGAACTGGTGTGCAAGAGGAAGATGTCTTTATACGTTATCATGATTTTTTTCTTTAAAATATGACTGAAGGTGGTAGTTAACCTACTTAGTGAAAGCGACCATTTTACAGTAGAAAGTATGTATACATCAGGGAAAACCATAACTTCGTCTTTATCTTAATCTCTGGTGTTTTCTGTGGGGTACTAATTATTTTTTCTAGAAAAATTACAAACTAGTTATGTTTACTTGTTTCAGAATGTCTTCTTAAAAATATTAAACTTTTAACATTTTTTAGGATTTCCATTCTTGAGAATTTCGTATAACTTAAAATATGAAATATCTTCTGTAGTATGACTTAATTATATAAAAGTTAGCACAATGTAGGGTCATAATTTATGAGTTTTCTGCAGTAAGAAACTGTTCTTCGTCACTGATTTGATGCATCCATTAAATGGCCTTCATAAAGCCAATTTCTTAAAATTACTGTGATTTTGGGTGCACAATTTTTATACTACATTCATTTTGAAAAGATCTGATTTACAGAAGTTTGGAAATCAATGTTTTTTTGAAAGCAGTATTTTTTTAATATGAGTCATACTGAGTGACCCCAACATTGGGTGTACAAGGCTATCCCAAATAAATAAAAAAAAAAAGTTAATCAAAGATAAAATCATATTTTAAGACATAAGAAGTCCTTTAATTCCTGTTCTGTAAAGCAGGTAGCAGATAGTAACGTGAATATATTCACATAGTATCATTACTGAATGAAAACTTATAGCAAAGAATATGAGGATAATTTCACTAGACTTAATGACCGCATGGAGTAGTGATGAAGGCTTTTAGCTAGAAAAGTTGCTCATCTAAAATACTGATCTTTTACTGCAAATTTTCTATTTTTTCAGTCATTACAAATATCTGATGTAGCCATCTGTACTCATGATACCAAAACAAAATGTTTCTTGAATCAAATTTTTTTTTCGAAGTCAAAGTATTCCCAACAATCAACATTCTTACGAGTATTTACAAATGAATTCATGCTTCATTGCTTCCCTCTAGCAATGCTGATAGGCAAAGGTGCTTTCTAATCTGTTCTATTTATTTTAACAATAAAATATTTTATTTACTACAAACATACACAGACACAAACACACGCACATCTCTTTGGAAATTGCTGGGCAGAAGTTATTTGCTTAGTGACCAAGCACTTGGTGATTTGTAAAAGATTCTTCCAAGAACACGTTAACTGTACGCTGGTAGATTCTCCCATGATTTACAAGCATATAATGTGCCTGCACTGGTTAATAATGTTCTGGATATATCTGAATGTTTCATTGATTTCAATGTAATGGCAATAAATTGATAGACCCAAAACAGATGAGTTCAAGATTAGGAATGGATGCTGGGAAACTAGTAACTTTCTTAACTTTGCTAATACTCATAATGTGCACAATATTATTGCACAGCTTAATGTTTCGGGCTGGCAAAAAGCGTATAATCTAACTCAACATAGCTCAGTTGACTCAACTAGAGATAAATGGATTTAGATCAGCTGGGCACTTGCCCCCAGTTCTCAATGTAGTTTCCAGACAAAAATTATGTTAAATTGAAGCAAAGGTTAATAGCACATATTGGTAATTTACAGTAAACTACTTTCAGGAATGCTGCAATTATATTGAGTGTTATAACCCAGAGAATTCAGTCAATGCTAAATTAAAAAATATCCAAGCATATTACAGTATTGAGAAACAATTAGGCAATCCAAGCAGTCTTAACTGTGCCCTGTAGTGAATTCATGTGCAAAGCATATGGCCATAAAACTTGCTCCCGGGGAAAAGAGTAAATAGATTAATATACACTGAACTGACCTCTCCCATATAATGGTATGAACAGCATCAGTACTTGTTTTCACACACAGGTTCTGACATTATGTAGTTCATACCTGTCAATTCCAGTCCACCAGTAGACCATTGCTTTTAATCTACTGACTCTGGCCATTTGTAGGGGAATAGCAGTATACAGGCAATCAGGCTGCAGCAGCAGATATCCAGCACACTTAAGCAAATAGCCGTTATGTTTTTGGAAGCCACAGTTGCTTGATCCAAAGTGTTTTTGTGGTTCCACTCCTTTCATGGAGCAGGCTCGCTCTGCCCTTGTGTCTAGCCACATGTTCAACTCAACACTGGATTTCTCACAGCGGTTTCTTTTGTTTGAGTAACATGGTAAGTAGCTTGCTACTTGCCAAGCAAGCAGTACTGTACAGCACTAATCCATGTACACAGGTATACCAGTTCAAAGAATCCTGAATTCAGAGAATTCAGACAGTCATTCCCCTTAACCAGTTGCTAATACATTCTGTCACCCAATTAAAAATCGTCAGTTTTCATGCCTATTGTAATTGATTAATTATCTTTACAATAAATATATGGTAAATCTCTGATCTTCAGCAGCTCTGGTGCATCCTATATAGCCTAATGTGCCATGTTTCCTGATCTGGATGCCCCTACCGTACCACACATATTCTATAGACCTTTGTAAATTCTTTGGAGTGTAGTCAATGGACTTCCTGTGTGTTAGTTTTTTGTCTAGTTACTTCTCCATCATATTGCTAGCTGTGTGACTTCATAACATTGGATCTCAACTGGATTTCAAGCCCTCTTAGAATTTCTTCCTAGCAGATAGCTGTTATACTTACTATTCCTGGTCTACTTTTGGGGAGGGGATACTGTATTTGTTTTCCCTTAGTCTACTATGTGTGTATTACTATTTTAATGTGCTTATAGGCAGACTGAAAGACAGGAAATACAATATTTAATGCTCGGAAACTACGATGGAAAAGAATAGGTACAGTTACAAGTGTCAGATCCAATGTGTGAAAACAAATACTAATTTAGTTGTTCACACTCATTGTATGTGGACAGGTCAGCTCAGTGTATGTTAATTCTAATTACTTCTCCCCAAGAGCAAGTCTGTATACATATTGTAAATCTATTAGAATACTCTGTAGACATTACAGTATATTTGAAAGTCAAATGGAGGCTAATTATTTTATGTTAAGTTCAGTTTGGTTACCACTTATGTCTCTTCAGCATGTCCTTTAGTAAATGACCTGCTGCATAAGCAATTCAAATTTTGAAAATGCCAAAGACTTATTTTTAACTTCTTAGAAATTAGCAAGGGGAAAGTACCACTCTGTACTACCACATACCTCCCTAACAAACAAAGACAACTGACCACCATTAATAATTATAATTAAAAAAAAAAAAAACTAATGAAGTCTGACTTCTGGGGAAAATATTTGCATATCAACATATATTTATAATTGAAATTTATGATGAAAGTGATACTTGAACAATTTTCTTGCAGATTTATTGTTTTCAGTGATAGATTATCTTGCCATAATACTCAAAAGTTAGTGATGATAGTTAATAAATTTATGATTTTTAAATCTATTCTATTTCAGTCTTTGAAACAGTGATGCAAAATGTATCCATTTTTATTTTCATCTTCTGTAACAGACCTGTGATTTAGAGTTTTGCCATCTATCCATAGGTGTTAAGATTAGGCAGTTGGCATGTTGTTCAGGTCTCATTTGGAACCAAAGAATTAATAGGAGTTAGAGCTCTGAAATCAGGTAACTTTATGACTCCCACAAGAATATTCCTTATAGTTTATAGCAAAATAACAAATTATAGAGAGTTGTTCCTGTATCTTCATATACATACAATGTATATGTATAGGTATATTTTTAAAAGTTAGTAACTTCTAAGCTGTAACAACTTTATTGGAACTTCATCCCTTTTTCTCAGACCTGCGCTCCTTACCTTTAAAGAGAAGACCTAGCAGGAGGAAACTGTAAATTTTATATGCTTTAGGGCCATCTGAGAATGAAGAAAAACAGTTTAAGAATGATAAAGGACATAACTAGGTCTGTAATAATTTGGTAAGTGACAGACTACATTGTGAATGGAACACTTTTCATAAGCAGTAGATCAGCATACTGAGTTCCAAGTGTTTACGTGGGAGAGGGATTTAGTAATGAATAATAATTGTAGTAGGTGAGAAATTTCATTTTTAGCGTGCTTACAAGAACATACTTTTTGAAGAGGAGAAACAGGATTATATACAAAGGACATAAAAACATATATGAATTGTGTACCTCAAGCATTTAAAGGTTCAAATTGGCAAGGAAATATAGATATCAAAGATATCTTGGCAATTTGCATGGAAGAATCATTTCACATATATCGAGATAATGGAGGGCAATCCGCCATTGAGTTATCTTCTATGAAGAGTCCGATTTTGCATATTTTTACATTTTTTCCCTTTCTCAGTACTTTTCTACACATTTTCTAGTTCTGATAAGTTATTCCCAAGTGGTCAAGAGTTCTTTTTTTGTGATTAGAATTTTGAAAATACGAAGAGATTCTTGTTTTAAGGTGAATCCTTTAAAAGAGTGAGACACAAGTATTCATTCATGGATAGAAAAAATGCTTTTATCTCTGTTAGCAAACAGAGCAAAGTAAAATCCAGACTGAAGTCCTTCTTCAGTAAACCTAAGACAAGGTTTACTCTATCTCTTCTACAGCAACAAAGCCTAATGAAGTGCATTCAACCACTCTAGTCGCAAAGAGTCCTCTCAAATTGGTGATATCTAATCTGGAAGTAGAGGAGGGAGCCAATAAGCATATCCACTGACTGGATGTTAGACTTGAATAATAATGTTTTTAGCAAAATTTTAGTACAAGTTACAGGGAAGGAAAAGTTAGGCTTGCATCTGTGTATGCTGAAAATATTTAATCAGACTATATACATCAATGTTTTTGTTTTCTTTCATTGTCAGCATTTTAACTGTGTCTTTGGTATACTATGATTATGTGAAAAGGACACATTGTCATTCAATAACTCAAATCTTATCTACATACCTTTATAAGAAAAATATGTTTCGCTTCAATAGCTATTTCAGATAGTGCTTTTCAAACTACACTGTTACGGAGTGTATAAGACTTCAGAGATTACAGAAAAATTTTTTAGCAAACTTTCAACACAGCACAGTGTTCACCTAACACAGGCAGAATCACGTATACCTGCTCTGATAGTCAGCTGCTATGAATCAGAGCGTCTTCACCGGTACAGGTGTGTAATTGTCTAATGGGTAGAAAATATGTACTTTACGACGGAATTTGAAGATAATTTCCCATCTAGCAATAAGATAATTTTCAGAAGGACCATACTTATCCATTATATTAGGCATTAATTTAGAGCTTATTGTGGAAAAGTAATATGGAGCCCTGTAATGTCACGTTTACATCTAATGTCCAGAATAGAATCATTTTTGAAATGTCAGCTTGATTTGAGAACCACAGGTCTATAAAATCTGAGACTCATTTATTGATCTGCGGCAGAGGCCTTAGATTATCATTAATGCACAGAAATGCAAACAAAAAAGCACAGGGAGATTTCAAAGCAGCAAGTATTTAGAACAAAATGCTGGAAGAAGTTACGGATCTGTATGTGAAGAGGGGCCTTATATTAGTTGTAACTTACTCTTTCATCCACTTTAAAGCTGTGTTGCACAGCTCAAGCCTAAACTAAATCCTTGAATATTGTGAAGAGTCCTCACACGAAATAACAAGAACCCAGTGCTATGCAATATAGAGAAGTCAGCAATAAAAAGAACAAAGGATACATTTAGAAGTTATCTAGATCAGTTAAGTATGCATTAAAGAATGTCTTATGTGTGTAATCGCTCTGACTGTGTGAGTCATGTTAGGATAAAAATTCCATGCTACATTTGAGCAAGCAAATCTCAGATCTTTTGAAGATGAAATTCCAAGTGTTTAAACTGTGTAAAAGATGATGGCACTAAATTTTCGAAGGAGCTGTTTACTGAAGTGCTTCAGTTAATAAAAGGAGAATTAAGCTGTTATTGTCAAATTTCTCTCCCACCTACTAGCTGATATTGTCATTCCATTTTCAAGGTCACAGTAAAAGTAGTCAGTTATGATTCTCCTCAGATAGTTTTGGCAGGAGATAAATAGGTGCTTCAGATCTTTTTATAGGATATTAAAAGGTGAGACACTTCTCCACCTGACAGTGAACTGTCAATCAGAACCTGTCAATTTCAGTTCCAAAGAAGAGAATGATTTAGTGCCCCTTCCATTATCGATCATTGATTAGATGACTTTTCATGAAAGTTAAATCTTTGTGTCAGTTCCATTAAAAAAAAAAAAAAAGGATTATTATCTCTTTAAAATAACATTTATAATAGACACTTTTGACACTCACCTTTAACGATACTTGTATACATTTAGAAGTATACAGTATACAGTATGTGGCATTAGAAAAAGGCAGTTTGCGTGAAAAAATAAATTATGCCTGCATTACCGTAGGTGTCTACTAAATTTCTGTGGTGTTTTACCCCAGAACATATGCGTTAGTATCAATTCAGTTAACTGCTTTTAAGGAAGAAATCAAACATAATCTCATACTGGAAAGATAAAATACTGTAAAAAAATGTAAATTGAAAAAAAAAATCAACTGCCTTGTAGAAATGTTATTTAATGAAAGGTCAGTGTCATATCAATACCCATATTAAATAGTAAACTTATGAAATGATTGTATGTCTTTTTGACTTAAAATACTGACATGTTTTCAGTTTATTTGACACGGAAGTCTACTGTATTATTTGTTGCTACAGTAATGAAAGGTTCTTTACATATATGACCTAGCTTGTATTCTACCAACTTTCAACAAATACAGCCTTGCAATATCTTTTATGAAAATGTTTCACTTTATTTTTTAGAAACTGTAGTTCATGATATTAATGTTTATCAATACTAAGATAATACAGTATTTATGCAGAAACATATGAAGAAAATTCAAATAATTTTGTTTTAATTTTTCATATAGAAGTGTTCTATTTGTTCTGTGAATATTAGAGCAATTTTCTAAAGCAGGAGAAACAGTTTATGAAGAAAAAGTCTCAGTCAGAAACACACTTATCAAGTGAATAATCTGGATAGAACTCTCCTGTTTTGTGTGTAAGCATGGTAGCCTATGCTGGTAAAACGGAAAGCTAAATTTAACCATGCAGCTTCCACAAAAACGCATTCAACCAAAGAGACAGGAAAAAAATCATGAATATACTAGATTAAACTTACTCATTTTAATTTGAGAATAAAAAGGTGATATTACATAAATCCCTTTTATTAAAAGACTTTTATTTTTGAGATTCTTGATTGCTAAAGGTTAGGTTTTTTTTTTTTTTTTCATTCCAAAGGAACAGTTTGTGCATACATATGTTGTTCCCGGCCTTTAAAACATGTATGAATCAACTGTATGAGGAAACATATAGTATCCCTTTTGACTTTGACATGAATTGCAGATATTACCCACTACAAAGATGGCGAGGGGTAATATGGTCAATAAAACTAAAATTATTCTGTAATTACCTCTGTGTTTTAAGGTGAGATTCAGACAGGTTTTCTGCGTAGTGCTTTTCTGATTCAACTGAAATTTACAATTTGCGTAATGTACTACAAATGCTGTTACAGTGTGTAGCAGTAAATTTGGCTAGCGCTCAGCACTTTTTCTTATGCATTATTTATAGAACTTTACTTAAAAGTTCTCATCTGAGTTGTGCTTTCACAGCCTGCTGGAGCTAATCATAAGTATCATGTTGACAGATCACATGAACAACAAAATTTACAGAGAATCTATTTATTGCACTCTGATTTTCTTTTTTCTCAGTTAGGAAGCAGACTGAAGACAATGGAGCGTGTTCGTTACTGTGAGAGGGAAAACAATCTTTATATTAGCATATATTTCAAGATTATTATTTGTGCTTTGGTACAGCATGTTTATAAGTGTTATGTACTAATCACTTGCATACACATACATCACTAAATTATAAGATTTTGTCATCAGCTTTCTTCCAGAGTGAAGACAGAGAAAAAATTCTAGTATGCTGGGTTTGACATTCTCAGAGATATTACTAATATCAGCATATTTGCAGGCTTATTTGATCCTGGTCCTCATAAAAGTCTAATTAATTGATAAGCTTCCATAAAATGACCTTGCAAGGAAGATAGTTAAGTTTCACAGTATATGTAATTCTGAAGGGTATATGTTTTTGAACACTTATTGCTGCGCTTTTTATATGTGTAATTGTAAAATGAAGAAAGAGAACACTGCTAGATTCTTGGCTGTAACCAACTCCTCTTTCAGTATATATAACAAACAGTACTTAGTTACATTTCTTTATTGATTTTTACTTTCAATTCAATACACGCTTAAGAATGACTTTTTTTTACTCTGTGTGTTCAGTTTACCCAGTAATCAGTTACTTTATCCTACCTGGTATTCCTTTATTCCTTTTCCTCCTTTTTTTTTTCTTTTTTTTTTTTTGAGCTCCACTGTAGAAAGATTTGTTTGTAGAAATGTTATTATAAAATCCACTAAGTATTTCTTTTGATTTTATTTTGGTTTTTATGCGTTTTTTTTTTTTCCAGGAACACTGATGCACCATTTCTTCTTGTCCTGTCTTATCTTCATGTCCATACTGCTCTATATGCATCAAAAAATTTCACAGGAAAAAGCAAGCATGGCTTATATGGGGATGCAGTGGAGGAAATGGACTGGAGTGTAGGTATGTTGCATATGCTTCTGACATTGATGGAGGGAATTCCTGGTAGAGTCTCACTCATGTCCACTGAATGTAGACTTCTGCAAACTGGATGCGTACAGTATATCTGAGCTACTTGCCCTTTATACTTAGGGGAAAGAAATGCATGATTAGAGGCATCATTAATCTCACCTCTTGCAGTATCTATTTTAGGGTCAACTTAATTGTTTCCTAGAAATGCCTGTCCTTTTTTAACTATGAAACTAGCTTGTGTGGACTTATTAGAGATGTAGACATCTTAACTATGGACATTTAAAGCAAAGAAAGTTGAATCCAACCCCAAGAGTTTCTGGGTTCTTCTGGGTGTCAGCTGGTCTTGAAGATATTGTGACTCTACAGGTTATCTTCATTAATGGGTATGCTAACTCAAAAAGTGATCATATGGTACTGATATTAAAATAATTTCAAATAAAGTGACTACAGTCAAAACAATTTGCTAATTATTTTAGTGACTTTTCTGAATCAGTGAAGTCAGTCAGGTAAGAGCCGCTTCTGTTCATTAAAAATAGTCAAATAATTTGCCCTGCAGAGCCTTCCATTCTCTCTCAGGCTTGCGAGCAGCCAGTCATTAGAACTTTGAACAGGCTTCCTTTATCTCTAGACATCTTGTAACGACTTTCTGATGCCAGAAGTATCACCTCTGAAAACAATTCCAAGTTCATGTTTGAAATAATCATAATAGACCATAGCAGTATAAGGAGCTAAAGATCAACTTGCTTTCCTCCTTCCCACGTACCCCAAGCCAATTCTGTTTTTGGTGCAAACCACTACAAAATGGTTTTCTTCAAGAAAACAGTTCTTGTTTATTAGATTGCTATAAACAGATACCTAACTTTGATGCACACATGTTTTTAAACTGTGCAAGCATATACAGGTAAAATTATGTATATTTCTTTTCATATTTTACGTCAAGAGATTCAGGCTACAGAAGATGGAGGAAGAATGAGCAGCACAGTACATTTAGTGGTTGCTAATATGTTTAAGTTTAGTGCAATATTAGCAAAAATTAACAAATGTTGAAAAACTTTGTGTGAAACTCTGAGATGCTTAAGAGGAAAATCTGTCAGTGTGGGAGATAATTAGATTAAATAGAAAGACTGTTCCATAGATAGATTTTCTAAAAGAGAGAATGACTTTCATTCAAGCTGTATTACCCCCTGAAACTTTATCACTCTTGGGTGTGGCCATCAGCATGTAGTCAACCAAGTGCTTGCATTAGGTTCGTGTATGCACACAGTCTATCACTTCTGTTTGCATCTGCTATGTAGTAAGCTACTGAGCATTAGCTGGTCTTTACTCTCTGATATTTTTTTTTCACTATTTCACAGTAGTAAGTTTATTCTAGCCTAATTGATTATTTCCTGCTGTCATTAGGTTTTGCTGCCTCCTTCAGGAGAGGGTTTAAACAACAGGTGGAGATTTAGTTAATGGTGCAGGAGTGATATCATATTGAAAGCCACTACTTTCTTCCAAAATGACAAGAAGCGCTTAGGAGATGTGTCACACATACCAAACTGTAAGCCAGCAATGTATTATTAAAAAAGCTTGGGGTAAGTCAGAGATCTAAATCTAGTAATAGCATAAGAATTTCAAATTTTGTGTAATGTGGATTAGGTAGATACAATGTTAAAGAGGAGATGCATGAGTTTCCTTGTGTATTGTCCTTTACAGTTGGATACAGGAGCATCGGGGGCAGCAGAGCTATTTCATCAGGAAAGATATCTTCATCTCGTAGAAAAAAGTGTACAAGCTTTGAATTTTGCTTCAGCTGAGGGTCTGGTTATTCAGTTTGGCCTATGTCTTGTGAGACTCTTGTGTTGACAAGTGGCGTATTTGCTCCAGGACGCAGAAAATGTGTTTAGGTCGTCTGTTACTTTCTCCTCCTTTATTAGAATGATGAAAAAGAGTTATGGCTGACATTTCCAAAGGACACTGAGGGAATAATGTAGCTTTTCTTTTTTCAGTTGAAGGGAGTACTTCCATTAACCTCCACTGAAAATTCCAATCTTAATGCATTCAAGTATGTCAGACAAAGTAGATTTATTCACCGTACTGGTGATGTCAGTTACAAATATTTTCTTGAAATGCCTCTGTCATTTACATTAGGAAAGTCAAACAACAGTGTCTAGAAAAGCTGAAAAAGTGAAAACTATACGCTTTCCCCAAAGGGAGGTTTTGTCATTTGTTAAACTGAAATGAGTATTTATGTGTAGATTTAATGTAATTTACAAAGATAATAAGACAAAACAGCCCGGATATAACAATAGGCTACAAAATCCTCTAATTAAAGACAACCTAGGCATAGGAAATAAAAACAAATCTATGGAAAAACACATCATAGCACAACATCAAAAATGTTGGACAACTGGTAGGAAAAGAAGCACCAACATCAACTCAGTTCTAAAAGAAACTTACAGTGGATGATCTGCAGAGTGGGAAATATTGTGGAAAACCCTTATGCAATGTAAAAAACAAAGGGAGGAGAGAAAAGCAGAACCAAAGCTATAACTCTCAGGTACTAGTGAAGAAAAAGTTATATCAAGATTGGAACCGTGAATGCAATGAAAAATTGTCCCTGATTTGAGAGAACAACTTGAATCACAAAGAAGGCTTTAGCTTCCACTTGCAAGAGAAAAAGCAACGCCATTTCTAAAAGTAAGACAGAAAAATTTACTCAGACTGATCTTAATAAATCTTAAAGAAAATTGTTCATTTTCATATATTTCTTTATTTAGAAACAATCACCTAATTGAGCAATAATTTATTTAAAAAACTGTCTCAATGCTAGCAGGAGAACAAACCTAAAGACAAATGAATGAAATACTCCTTTAAATGTTTCATGTTTGTGACTCGTTAAACCAATATTGAAGAGTATGATTACAGCCCATGTCAAAAATACTAAATACAAAGTCTCTGGATAAGCTTTGGGGCTACGTATTTCTACTGCTTTTGCATACTTATGTGTGTTTAACAGAATTCAATATTTAAAGCATTTACAGTCATAATGTCACTGCATGTGACAGGCTTTAGAGAGTTATTCTCTGGCTAATAACATTAATTTTGTTTCAATGTAGGCTAAGTACCTTATTATTGCTATTAATTATAACTCATATGAGAGCAAATGAAATAACCTTTCAGTCTAAAAACAGAAAAAGAAATGATGAATGAATGGAATATTATCTTTTTCTTCCTTCCATTCTTCTTTCCTTCCTTCCTTCCTTCTGCTCTTCCTTCTATCCTTTAGAAATCCTTCCATCCTTTTAGAAATTATTTATACCGTAAGTTGCATTACATTAAGCTCTGCAGAGAAGCACCTGGGAGTGCTGGTGGACAACAAGTTAAGCATGAGCCAGCAGTGTGCCCTTGTGGCCAAGAAGGCCAATAGGATCCTGGGGTGCATTAGGGAGAATGTTGCCAGCAGGTGGAGGGAGGTGATCCTGCCCCTCTCCTCAGCCCTGGGGAGGCCTCACCTGGAGTACTGTGTCCAATTCTGGGCTCCCCAGTCCAAGAGAGACATGGCACTCCTGGAGAGAGTCCAGCGGAGGGCTACAGAGATGATCAGGGGACTGGAGCATCTGTCCTACGAAGAAAGACTGCGGGAGCTGGTCCTGTTCAGCCTGGAGAAGAGAAGACTGAGAGGGGATCTCATCAATGTCTAAAAGTATCTGAAGGGAGGGTGTCAAGAGGATGGGGCCGGTCTCTTCTTTGTGGTGCCCAGTGACAGGACAAGAGGCAATGGGCAGAAACTGGAACACAGGAAGTTCCATCTGAACATGAGGAAAAATTTGTTTCCTGTGAGGGTCACAGGGTGTTCTGTGAGCAGTGGCACAGGTTGCCCAGAGAGGTTGTGGAGTCTCTTTCCCTGGAGGTATTCAATACCCGTCTGGACGTGATCCTGTGCAGCATGCTCTAGAGGACCCTGCTTGAGCAGGGAGATTGGACTAGATGATCTCTAGAGGTCCCTTCCAACCTCAACCATTTTGTGATTCTGTAATTTAATCTAAAACAGATCACTGAAAAGAGTTTTGGAGCCCGCTGTAGACTTGCATGCAAGCTGTTTGAAGATACGCTGTTTCAACATCATTTTCACAAACAGATGTTTCTTGTTCTGTTCCTGTTAAGAGTAGCGAGACTATGAACACGTTTTTAATCCTTTGTTGAGCAATCACAAATATATGGCTCAAGCACGAAAAAGTCTCAGAAATTGTAGTCTGGCACAAGCTATGTGCAATGATCTAAATATTGATCTTTTTCTTGTAAAGAAGAGCATATATGTTTAACTTTTTGCAGAAATTCATAAAGTAGAGTTGTATTAAATTTCTGTCTTTTGTCTCTCCTGATTATACATTGTTTTATGGCATTGGATATAATCGGAGTTCCTGTTTAACGAAGGCTTCTGTAGTTCATGTAGTTTCTCCTCTCCTGACTCATAGACTTTCTTTTACCGAAAAAATAAACTAGAAAGACATCCAGACTTTATATGCAAATGGAGAGAAGGAGACTGTGCCGTTGCTTTGTCTGATAGGGTTTTTTTTTTTTTCTTTTTCTGATTTTTGTCACAATTAGAAAATAGGGATGACAACTATAAGAGTCATACAGAGTTCACTTGTTAGCATAGATGACCATCACTATTTTGAACTCTTGGTTTTTTCTTCTAGTTTCTTAGGAGGCTTAATTTATTTTTTTCAGATTGTTATTAAAACCAGCCCAAACAATCATCATTTTCAGGTCAGATCTTTTTAAATTTCTGACCTTAATCCTCAATAAAGCTCCATTGACTTAGTTGACTTCAAACCACTTGTTGATCTAGCCCAAATTGCTCTGAAGGCAAAAGCAACAGTGCAAAATTTGATAAACTGTTGCCTTGACTGAGTTAGCAGCGCAGAAGTCTCTAACACCTGAATCCCTGTACTGGATCACTGTCTGTCATTGTGAGTGATGGGCCTAACTTTTTAACTAGCAGT